ATTGATTTCAGAGAGGAAGGGAGAGGGAGAGAAAGATAGAAACATCAATGATGAGAGAGAATCATTGATCGGCTGCCTCTTGCAGGACCTACATTGGGGATCAAGCCTGTAACCCGGGCATATACATTGACTGGGACTTGAGCCATGACCTCCTGGTTCATAGGTCATGCTCAACCACTGAGCCTCCCCAGCTGGGCCAGCCAAGAGCTTTTTGTAAATTAAATCTTATATTAGAAAAGGAAATTTTCCTCCCAGCAGTATTTTAAGCCCCTAAGCACTTGTATTTTTCTAGGAATTTGACCATTTCATCCACATTGTCCAACTTGTTGGCATATAGTTTTTAAGAGTATTTTTTTTACAATCCTTTGTATTTCTGTGGTTTTAGTTGTTACTTCACTGCTTTCATCTCTGATTTTGTTTATTTGGGTCCTCTCTCTTTGTTTCTTGATGACTCTGGCTAATAGTCATCAATCTTGTTTATTTGTTTAAAGAAGCAGGTCTTGGTTTCATTGTTCTTTTGTATTATTTTTTTTAGTCTCTATGGCATTTATTTTCCTTCATTCTACTCACTCTGGGCTTTTCTTGTTCTCTTTCTAATTCTTTAAGTTGTAAGGTCAAATAGTTTATTATAAATTTTTCTTGTTTTTTGAGTTAGGCCTGTAGTGCTATGAACTTCCTTCTTAGGACTGCTTTTGTTGTGTCCCAAAGATTTTGGGTTGTTGTGTGTTCATTTTCACTTATTTCCAGGAAGTTTTTGATTTCTTTTTTTATCTCCTTGGTAACCCATTCATTGTTTCATTTAGCCTCCATGCGTTTGAATGTTTTTGAGTGTTTTCATTGTAGTTGATTTCTAATTTCATTCCGTTGTGACCTGAGAAGATGCTTGATATAATTTCAATCTTCTTGAACTTGTAGAGACTTGTTTTGTATACTAATATGTGATCTATGTTTCCCTCTCATTGATGTGTCTATCTCTCTCCCTCTTCATTCCTCTTTCTCAAATCAATAAAAACATTTTTAAAAACCTTTTTTTCTTTTCACATTTCCTTTTCTAGTTCTTTCTCATTCTTTTAGCAAAGACTTTGAATTTACATCAAACATGTGGTTTGTCACCATCAGATTTTAAGAAGTAAAATCTTGTTGGAATGTTCTTTCTGCTGTGCTTCACTGAGAAAATAAAAGGGGTAATCTCCATTGTATGGAGGACATAAAATTGCCACAGAAATTCTTCTGAGAGAAAAATCTGTAATCTTGACACCCTAAAAAGCTCCAATGCAGGAATATTTTTAGTGAAGGAATACTTCATGTGGGTATTGCTGGAGGATTAGTCCTTAGACATGTCTTTGCAATTCCCACCCTAGCCTCAGGCCTGAGATTGGATTTAAAATTTGATTATGTTTTAGGTTGAGGCATAATTGTGACTAACACTCAGCTAGAGACCTACACTATTTCCCATCTTTGTCCTCTGCCTTTTCCTCCCCTAAATAACAACAATGAAAAAACAAAACCTTCCTGTCAATAAAGATTGCCACTAGGGTTGCAGAAATGGCCTAATCTCCACCGTCAACTACCACCACCTTGACAGTCTACTGCTCCAATGGTAGAAGACAGCACCTTGGCTATTTGTCCTCCATAGATTGTACTACTGAGATAAGGGAGTTGTAGGAGGAAAGTTTCCAAGTTCTTGTTAATCACACAGGTTTCCTGTTTTACACCTTTGGAGGGAAATTGTATAGAAGGAGTCCTGAGGTTCTATTTTAAGTGTGTTAATTTTGTTGCTCATTCAGCAATCATTGGGTTGGGCCCTGGGGCAACAGAAAGACTGGGCCTGTGGAAACCAGTCTAGTGGGGGAAAGTAGACCTGTGAAAGCCATTGAAAGTATGAGAGGTCCTAGGTGGAAAGTTTGGAGGTCAGGAAGTACTTTTATATGAAAATTAAAAACATCAAAGTTAGCCCGGCTGGCATGGCTCAGTGGTTGAGCATCAACCTATGAACTAGGAGGTCACAGTTCGACTCCCGGTCAGGGCACCTGCCTGGGTTGCAGGCTTGATCCCCAGTGTGGGACGTGCAGGAGGCAGCCAATAAATGATTCTCTCTTGTCATTGATATTTCTATCTCTCTCTCCCCCTCTCCCTTTCTCTGAAATCATTAAACAAACAAACAAACAAACAAAAAATAACATCAAAGTTAAGATCCCAGGCCACCAACCAAAAGCTAATTTTACCTTTCATATCACCAATGGTAAGTTAAACTTTATTGAGTCTTAGTAAGTCCCAGAGAGAATGCAAAGCCTTTCATTTATCTATGCTTTCACCAGCCCTATTGTTACTGGAAAGGGGACCTGGCCCTGAACGAGTCTGCCTAGGGCGAGCCGGTAGTGTGTGGATTCTTGACTTCATGCAGGAAAAATTTCATAATATGAGTCCAGACGTATATCTGGCCTCTAGGAGAACCTACAGACCTGTAAAGAACTTTTGTAAGAGCTTATTTGAACCCAAACTGATGACAATTGCCAGGAAGCAAGGTCTCATAATCTTGTTAACTCTCAGGTAATCCAATACTGCCTTGCTTTCTCCCCCTCAAGTAATCTTCTTTAGTTCCCTCCTGAATTTCAAATGCATAAAGGAAATGGCAAAACTGTCATTCTTGGGATTACAGGGTAGTTAACAAGATTACGTGCTCTTTTGAGGGTGGTTGCTTCTTTCTAGAGGGTTTGTAAAGAGAGGATTACTCTGGCATTTCAAAGGTGTGTTACCTAGATGCGCAAGAACAATGGACAGGGCTGGCTGGAAGCAAAGACAAACCTTTTACTAAAAAAGTTATATGTCTAGGAAGTGATTACTCACCATGATCAGATCAGATCACCTGGGAGGTAACTTTCCTTAGAATCCCTTTTTGTCTACAGCACATAAATTAGGGACCCTTTTTTGGAGCTGTTTTTAATACTTTATTGGTACACATGAAGCTTAGTGATTCATTTATTATCTGCTTTCTCCTTTTTCTATATTTCTTCAGAGCTTGTCTTATTTATTCTAGAATTCCCAGTATGCAGCATAGTATCCCAAAATATTTGTTGAATGAATTCAGATACTTAGAAATTCAGAATGAAGAGCTATTAGAGGGCACATTTCTAGGGAAGGGATAGTTGCTGAAGCTCCCAGAGAGAAACTTTATGAGAGTTGAGTTCGTTTTGGAGGATCTGTCTCTATGTGGGTAGGGTGAGTCAGAGAAATCCTCTGCATTTGCTGGTTTTCCAGTACCTACAGCTGAGCATAAACAGTATATCCAAGCAGCATATTTCAGGATGACATGCCTTGAGCTCCTTCATAATCATCTTGGAAACTATGGGCAGTGTGATAACTAGGTTTCACAGCTGGATTTGTAACATGTTTTCTGGCCCAGTGCATTTCCTTCAATTGTAGGATGAGAGGAGGTATAAGAGTGGGGTGGGGACTGCACTAACGTAGCGTTTGAAAAAGCCCCCTTTTAGATTCTAGAATGCTCGCTGCCATTTCATCATTGCTGTAATACATATATGTATATATTGGACAAAAAAGGGGGCTCTGTAGTAAAACTGATAAGTCCTGCCCACCTGGCAGTGGCTCAGTGGTTGAGCATTGACCTATGAACCAGGAGGTCACGGTTCAATTCCCAGTCAGAGCACATGCCCAGGTGTGGGCTCCATCCCCAGTGTGGGGCATGTGGGAGGCAGCCAATCAATGACTTTCTCTTGTCATTGATGTTTATATATCTCTCTCTCACTCTCTATTCTTCTCTGAAATCAATAAAAATATATTTTAAAAACAAACAAAAAAACCAGACAAGTCCAGTGACAGAAAGTAATGTCACAGGGTAATCTGATAACAAATTCATAGCTGGACAGGTCATGGTGGGTAGTTATGCCTCGGACATAACATTGTTAGTAAAAAGTTTCTCTTTGCCTTACGTAAGCCCTATCCATTTTTCTTGTGCATCTAGGTTAAAACACCTTTGAAATGTCAGAGTAATCCCAGACCCCTCAAGAAAGCACATAATCTTAACTATCCTGTAACGCAAGCCTTCCTTTGCTTTCTTCCACCTTCAAGGGACCTCCCTCCCTCCCTCCCTTCTTTCCTTAATTCCCAATGCATAAAGGCAACTACAAAACTCTCACTTTGGGGAGCATTTGAGATCTTGCTTCCTGGCAGTTGTTGTTAGTTTAGCTCAAATGTATTCTTACAAAATTTTTCCTACAGGTTTGGATGTTATTTTTCACTGACTGGACAAAGTTATATCCACACACGTTTTTATGCCACATAGAGCTAAGATATGCCTCGGACATAACATTGTTAGTAAAAAGTTTCTCTTTGCCTTAAGTAAGAGAAACTTTTGGGTTCATCAGCTGATTGGGTTCCAGTTGGATTTAATTGGGACAGTTACAGGCTGTGCAATCTGAAGCAACACAGCCAACGTTAAGCCATGCTTACAGACCGTGTAGCAAATTATCAACCTAAGTAAGAGGTAAACGGAGGCAAGCTCACACTAGCAGAAAGTGAGTTTACTTCAGAATAGCAGAGTGATTGCAGTTTGTGGAACACATGCTATAGCAAACTACAGGCAAGTTCACTGAGGGTTTGGGACAGGCTGTATTTGTGGGCAGGGTGTGTGAAGAGGGGGAAGTCCACCCAGAGTCCAAGCAGTAAGTTCATTGGTTTGAGGATGGGAAATGATTCTTGGTGGATGTTCACTGGTCAGGAGATAAGTCTCAGTCATCAGGCATTTACAGGAAATCAGTCTCTCAGTTAAGTTCTATTCTTCTGAGGGTGTATTCTCAATTTTGTATCCTCTGGTCCCATGTTATATTAGATTTTTTTTTTTTACAGAATCTTGTTGAGGTTGTGGTCTTGCCATTTTAACTAGTAATCACACTACCTAAATATATGCTGTCTACCTGAACTGCTGTGGTTACGCTGCTTTCTCACCTAATTGAAATATAAAAACAACGACACTCTCTGTTCAGTCCCAGAAGTCCTGGATTGAAGGTGTGTTCGACAAGAGAGAATGTAACAAAATCATACCCAGCTCCAAAGACCCTCACAGGTACAATTCTTAATTCCATTTTCCTTTTTAAAGTAACACTACTTGGAGGACTATTTGTGGAAACTTAAGAGATATGACTTGTTTAAAGGATTTGTTAAGATCTATAAAGTTAGTGCTAATTCTTAATGGATGTTTGTTTGTCTTTATAAAAATAGTACATGATTACTAGAGAAATCTGATAAGAACAGAAACTTGTCAATTTTGTACCTCACTCCAATCCCAGCGCCCATTGACAGTGCCTGCCAGATAGTAGGCTCCTGAAAAACATCTGTTTAATGACTGAATGAAATATAAAGAAGAACACATTCATCCTAATGACATCACCCTGGTAGAGCCACTGTTAATATCGTGGTAGATTTTCCTCTGTTGTATTTTTTATGCTCCTGTTCCTCTTAGTGGGAGGAACGATTTCAGGAAATATCTTGTGTTTACATCTATTCCATTGGTTTTGGATAAAAAATTTACAACTTCTGAAAATTGAATATTCAAATTATTGTGAACGGTCCTTATCCTCCACTAACGTGTCTGTGGAAACAGTAACTGGGATATTTCAGGACACTGTGCTCAGTTTATACAAACAGTTAATTTCAGCCCCATTTTCCTCCCATAGGCTTTTTGCTTGAGCAGACAATGGGCAGCAGAATAAAATGGTTAGAGCCTGTCTACTCAGAGTTCTTGATAACCCTCTGGAAGATATACTGCTAGAACAAAACTCAAAACAGCAGCTAGTGAAACGTAGGGGCAGGATGGGTTACAGAAAATCTCCCAGTGTGGTTAGGTCCTTGAAATAAGATAGCATGTTATTGTCCTTGGAAAAAATAAATTACTAAAGGAAAATAGAAGAGCAGTATAGTTGACCTTTGAACAATGTGGGGGTTATTTGCACTGATCACCTGTGCTGTCTAAATGTATAACTTTTTAAAAATATATTTTTTATTGATTTTTAGAGAGAAAAAGGAAGAGAGAGAGAAAAATGGGAGAGAGAGAGGAAGAGAGAGAGAGAAAGAGAAAAAGAGAGAGAGAGAAACGAGCCCACAACCCAGGCAAGCTGTGAATGGGAATCAAACTGGCAACCTTTTGGTGCATAGGATGATGTCAAACTAAATGAGCCACACTGGCCAGGGCAAAATGTATAACATTTGACTCCCTTAAATCTTAACTTCCTTCACTGTCTGAGGAAGATTGATTCCAGGACCCGTTTGGGTATCAAAATCCATGGATACTCAAGACCCTTATATAAAATGGCATAGAACAATGAATGTAATTGGCCTTCTTCATTTGTGGGTTCCCAACCTTGGATCAAAAATATTGTTGAGCCTGGCTGGTGCAGCTCAGAGGTTGAACATTGACCCATGAACCAAGAAGTTACCAGTCTGATTACCATTCAGGGCACATGCCCAGGTTGCGGACTTGATCCCCAGTAGGGGGCATGCAGGAGGCAGCTGATGGATGATGTTCCATGGAAGATAACAGATATTTACTGTATAAGCATTAAATATGTCTTCAAATACATCAGTAAACTAACAGATATCATTTCTTTAATTTAGATGTACTGCAGGATGCCAGGTCTGCCAGAATTTAATCAGGTAAGACAGATAAATAAGATTTCTTTTAATTTTTAGGCACTGTGTTTCAAATTCATTGGAATAGTTTCACACATCTTGAATGGACTCAATGAAAAGGCCTTAATGGTGCATTTTATTTCCTTTGCAAGGGAAATTTAAAAAATGAAATGAGATATTTTTGAAGGAGTGTGATTGATTATTTGAATGTAATAATTTACTTGAATTTCCCAGACATGTAAATGGCTAAAGGCCCTTGACAAGAGCTTCTACCAATTGAAGTACTTATAAAGCATTACGTTTTCATTTTATTATCTTGCATTTTATTTGGATAATGAAGATGCTTTGTGCACATACAACACTGTATTTAATTTATGACTTGTAAGTGATGTATGTGTCTACCAGGCTCCAAGTCTGACACTAATTCTGATGTGTGTTTTTTCCAACACCAAGTGTCAGATCCCACAGGTTAAGAGCTCAAGATTGCTCCCTGCCTCCCACTCCCCACTTCAGATGCCAATTGATAGTCTAAATTGTCAGTGCTTCTGATGGCTGGGCTATAGATTGGAAGTTCCCATGACCCCCTCCACAGTTCAGTTAATTGACTAGAGCAGCATATATAACTCAGAAACATTTACCAGTTTATGATAAAGGATATTATAAAGAATACAGATGAAGAACCAGATGGAAGAGATGCATACGGCAAGTGGGAAGGAGCACAGAGCTTTCATGTCCTCTCCAAGTGTGCCACTCTCTCAGCACCTGCACGTAACCACCAACCCAAAGCTCTCTGACCCCATCCTTTTGGTTTTTTATGGGTGCTTCATTACATGGGCATGATTGATCAAATCAGTGGCCATTGGCGATTGAGTCAACTTGCAGAACCTTTTATCACCCCTTCCAAGTGGGTTTGAGAAGCTCTGTGCCAATGTATATTTGAGATTTTTAGTTTTTATTTTTAATTATTTTATTTTTAATTTTTAATCCTCACATGCGGGGGTTAGGAGGGGGAAGAGAGAGAGAGAGAAAGAAGGAGGGAGGGAGAGAGAAACATCAATGTGAGAGAGATAGATGGATTGGTTGCTTCCTGTCCTGAGCCTGAAACTGAGGTCCGTGGCCTTGACCGGTAATTAAACCCACAGTCCTTTAGTCCAAAGGCTGATGCTCTATCCACTGAGCCAAACTGGCTCGGGCTTAGTATTCTTATAAAACATTCTCCCAATCATTGTAATGTGCAGCTAACGAGGTGAACCACTGAGGGTGTTTCTAAACTTAGAAGATTATCCAGTGTGAAAAAATCCAATAGAAATCTTAATGAGACATTTAAAAATTATTAATGTATGTCACCTATACATTGCATTAGAGAAATGTAGAAACATTACATCTATTTTCTATCCTGAAATTGTGTTCTTTCTATTTTGAAATGGTTTTTTACCCCAAATTTAAGGTGTTACTGTGGGCGATTGATTGGAGACCATCTTGGGATGGATTATAGCTGGACCATGTCAGCTGCCAGTGGTGGTGAACATGAACAATGGTCTGTTGAAAAGCACACAACAAGAAGCCCTACAGATACCTTTGGTACTATTAATTTCCAAGATGGCAAGCACATCCACCATGCCAAGGTTGGTTAATAACCCACATTATATTACTGGTTTCTCACAGAGGATATAACCTCCACATTTTATCTCCTAATTATATCACCAAGTGTAGATGATCAGATGACCAGGTTTTATTGCAAAGTAGATCCATGTTATTAACCTCGTGACCTGACCTTTCTATTCCCTTTATGTCTGAGAGGCCTTCTTCCTTTCCCAAGTGTGGTATGGCCAGCTCTTTTTTGGATTGAGCTCTTTCAGCGAGCTTAAGCCTTCCGTGGAAGATGGCTTATTGCTCTTGAGACAGTTGCCAACGGGCTGCTCTTATGGAATGCAGAAAGTTACTACCAAACAGCAGGCATTACCTGAAGCATGGTCCTAGCAGTTATTACTGACGTGTGGCTAGTCATGCCTGCTGTGTCCTTGTGAGAGCCTCTTCTCAGGAAGAAATGGGGGGATTTCTTTCTGCCCTGAATTCTAGTACTGGGCTCTCCAGGCCAGTTTTTCTCAGGTTCCTAATATGGTACATTTGCATGCGATTTCCATAGTATTGACAGGTTAGCTATCTCCCAGATGTTTTTTCTTGAGCTTGTTAACCACATGCTGATTTATTAGAGGCAGTTTTCCCAGGGGAAAAGCTGGGTGGAAAGCCCACGTCAGGAAAGCTCAGAATCAGCTATATTCTGGAGTGTGACCATCAGTTTGATGGGTTTGAAACAATAGTTCTTCATAGTGAAATCCTATATAATAAAGAGGTAATATGCACATTAACCCTCACGCCCTCACAAGATGGCTGTCTATGACCAGGCAGGCAGGGGGGTTAGTGAGGGACGACCAATGACTGAACAAGCAGGCTGTGTGAGATGACCAGGCCAGTAGGAGGGTTAGGGAGGGACAACCAAACAACTGAACAGCAGGCTGCGTTGGGCAACCAGGCCGGCGGGGGTTGCAGTTGGGGGCAACCAGGCCAGCAGGGGAAGGCAGATAGGGGTGATCAGGCAGGCAGGCAGGCAGGTGAGCGGTTAGGAAACAGCAATCCAGGATTGTGAAAGGAATGTCCAAGGGGTTCCTGATTGGAGAGGGTGCAGGCTGGGCTGAAGGGACCTCCACCACCACCACCCCCCTCCCCCCCCACCCCCCCCCACCACAGGCCAGCAGGGGATGGCAGTTGGGGGTTACCTGGCTGGCAGCAGGAGACAGCCAGGGGCAACCAGGCCAGCACACAGAGGCAGTGAGGATTCATCAGGCCAGCAAGGAAGGGAGCAGTTAGGGGCAACCAGGCAGGCAGACAGGTGAGCAATTAGGAGCCAGTAGTCCAGGATTGTGAGAGGGATGTCCGACTGCTCAGGATCGGGCCTAAACCGGCAGTTGGACATCCCCCAAGGGGTCCCAGATTGGAGAGGGTGCAGACTGGGCTGAGAGGAACCCCCCCGCCCCCCGCACAAATTTCGTGTACCAGGCCTCTAGTCATAATATGATTTCACAATATAGTTCTACAGTAACCTGCATTTCCAGTTATCAACACTCTTGCATTTAACTTTGTGCATTTTCTTTACTGGCAGGAAAACTGCCTTCATTCTCCTCTCCAATCCTTTTTGGAAGCTGACACTTATTATGTATGTAATTACACTGTAATATTTTTCATCTGTTTGACATATATTTATTGGGTGCCCATATTTTACTATGCCCCAAATAGCGTAACACATGTACATTGGTTTTGTTGAGGAGGAACAAACTTTCTTCTACCTTCAAGGTTCTCTGGCTGGTCTGATAGTCAAATAAACATGAGACAAATCAGTAAGAGAAAATAATCAAGTGTAATACATAGTTATGTATGCGAACCCTGCATACACGAGAGAGTCAGAGCCCCGTAAGCAGGAGATGCTCAGAGGTAGGAAGGGGGATCTTGGTATATAAGACATCCTGAGCTAGGGATGAGGTAATGCACCTGGGGCCTTCAATTTGACAAATATTTATTGGGTGCCCATATTTTACTATGCCCAAAACAGCATGTGTTCCATGTACTAACATTGGTTTTGTTGGGGAGGAACAAACTTTCTTCTACCTTCAAGGTTCTCTGGCTGGTCTGATAGTCAAATAAACATGAGACAAATCAGTAAGAGAAAATAATCAAATGTAATACATAGTTATGTATGGGAACCCTGCATACATGAGAGAGTCAGAGCCATGTAAGCAGGAGATGCTCAGAGGTAGGAAGAGGGATCTTGCTATATAAGACATCCTGAGCTAGGGATGAGGTAATGCATTTGGGGGCTTCAACAGGTCATTGCATGGTGATAGAAGTTTGTCCTGCCCTATAGATAGCAGTTAAATGGAGGGGCTGAAGTTTGTCTTGAGCCTGAAGCTAAAATTACCTTTAGCTCAAAGTAACCTGCATACCACTGAGGCACATCTTGGGGTGACCGTTCTGAAACCCCACAGTTACAGTCTAGTGAAGGAAACAGGAAATAAATATACAATTACCACAGAGGGCGGGGATGCTCTGCAAAGGGAATACAGGTTATTTGAGGGAATAAAAAGGTTAACTCCTGCTTTTCTGAGGCTGTGGCAAGGAAGCCATCTGAAAGTAGGGACAGCTGCACTGAGACCAGAAAGATGAGTGAGATGTTGGGTGTTTGGTGAGGCTCATGGGTAAGACCACTCCAGGCAAAAGCAATACCTTGTGCAAAGGCCAAGGTACACTTCGGAGAACTGAAAATATGGTTAGACAGACCCCCTGATCACGAATACATTTCACACTTAGCATTTGGCTCCTGTTCCATCCCAGGGCAGCTGGATGAGTGTTATTTGATCTCCAGAAGAGAAGTGTCTGCTCTTTATATTTAAGCCCAGAGTTGCCCTTCAAGTTTACCGTGAGCAGCAGGGAAGCTTGGAGAGCTGGGTTTTCATCTCCCTCCACTGCATTGGCCTTCCCAGTTGTTTCTCCCTACCACCACATTCCACAAAGGATTGGAGGTGAATCTTGGCCAGGCTGAGTCTTT